GAGCTCTTTCACACTACGCGCACACACACACAATGCATCCCTATACATACACAAACACACAATGCATCCCTACACACACAGAAACACAACATGCTTCCCTTACACACAGAGAAACACACAATGCATCCATTACACACAAAGACAATGCATCCTTTGCACACATACACAGAAACACACAATGCAAACTCTTCCACACACATGCAAACACACACACATGCAAACACACACACTACTTCTCTTACATATACACAGAAACACAATGCATTTCATACACACACTCAATGCACACACTACAGACACACACCTTGCATCTCTTATGCATACAAACACAGATTCACACAATACATCGCTTATACACAAACACACACTGCCTCCACTACAAATACAAAAGAATAATAAGCGCTCTCTTCTCAGGGATGAGCTGCAGTTCACCAACAAGGTGTTCCTCTACCTTGTGATAAATGGACAGATAAAATAGAAAGGTGAACAGCGCTAAAAATCAGAAAATGTACATACGTTTTGTAGAAATACTGGCCAGCAGAGTAACTTAAAAAAAAAAGAGAAACAAAAATACAAATAATGGTACAGTATGTATGAACGATATAATTCCACAAGAACAAAGGTGTTATATTCACACTCACACTTTGGGGAGCTATATCAGCTCGGTGTTAAGAGCCTGGACGGAATAATCCCCGTCTATGGATTTCTTGAGGTTCAAGACCGTTGGTGAATTTATAGGTGTAAATATTCGTTACATGAAAAACAAGAGTAAAATACACCACATGGTATAGTACGTAAATATAAAATATTGTAAAAAAAAAAGTGGATGATCCTACTTACATATACTAGAGCAACGACCTGTTCTAGTTTGGAGAATTTCAGGTGGAATAATCCCCACCTTGGGATATAGTGGACCCAGGTATAGCAGCAAAGCAGTATTGGATAGGAAGGAGGACAAAAGGAATGACTGGATAGTTTAAAAAAATATATATACTTTAATACAATAAGTGAAAAGTAAATAATAAACTATAAAACCAGTCTTGTATATGTTGTGGAAATAAGGTCTACACATATTTCCTGGTTAAAGGAAAATGTCTATTTACTCATTTTACAATATATATATATATATATCTCACATATAAAGCTAAGTACACATATTTCAATCAAGATGGCTGCTAGAAGCTTCTAACCCCTCCTTCCCCTCCCCTCCCTTTTTGAACATCGACTAACTACCTCGTGTAACAAGATGGCGCCGGAAAACCGTGGGAGACCCTCATGGTCCCGGTGACATCACCTGCAGTAGGCAGAGCATTAGAGCAACCACTTAACACCTAACCAATTATTGATGTATTATTCCATGTTATCTCTGACAATGCTTATGATGTAATTTTGCTTTAAAAGGGACTTGCCGTCCCCTCTGAATAAACTTTCCTCAAGTTATTCAACGACCTGGAACCTGTGTCTGGTGTGAATTACTTCAGGGAGCGTGCACGCATTGTTTCATTGATTTGGCCAGGGGCAGATACACAAAGAAATAATCAATACTTTAATTGATTTTTCCACTTCAATTGGCGCCCAACGTGGGGCCCACCGGAGAGCCGGTTCGGTGAGCCGGAACCAACGGACCGGAGCGGACCTCCGGAAAGTGGGACAAGCGGAGCCTGATCACCTCCATAATACAGCCGTTGCCTGTGTTATTCTCCTGTTTTGTGCCGGTCTGTCTCCGAGTCCACTTCCGGCTTCCAGAAGGCTACTAGAGACAGGTAATTAACTCATCCGGTGCGCCCTTTTTTTAAGTGAACCTGTCGATTGTCTATCTGCCTCCTGTATTCATTTATGTGTGTGTGTTTATTATACCTTTAAGATATGTTTGCTTGACTGCCTAGCGGGCAGGGAACGCATTTTATATGTTTGCTTGACTGCCTAGCGGGCAGGGAACGCGGTTTATGTTTGCTTGACTGCCTAGCGGGCAGGGAACGCATTACAGCCGGTGGGGCTGGGTTTTTATGTCTGCTTGACTGCCTAGCGGGCAGGGAACGCGATTTATGTTTGCTTGACTGCCTAGCGGGCAGGGAACGCATTACAGCCGGTGGGGCTGGGTTTTTATGTTAGCTTGACTGCCTAGCGGGCAGGGAACGCATTACAGCCGGTGGGGCTGGGTTTTTTTATGTTAGCTTGACTGCCTAGCGGGCAGGGAACGCATTACAGCCGGTGGGGCTGGGTTTTTATGTTAGCTTGACTGCCTGGCGGGCAGGGAACGCATTACAGCCGGTGGGGCTGGGTTTTTATGTTAGCTTGACTGCCTAGCGGGCAGGGAACGCACTGCAGCCGGTGGGTTGGGATTTTTGTCTGATTATTGTAGTATTTCCGTTGGTACCAGTGTTTTGCCGGGACCAGCCTGGTGGGTGAAGGCTGGAGATTGTTATATTCTGAATATCTGACACCGGTGGTGTTAACATGTACATGGCCATTTTGCTCTCTATCATTCTGTGGTTTCTGTTTAATTGTTGTTACAGTGTGGGTACCCTTGGTGTGTGTGTGTGTATTGTGTGGTTAGTTCTAGATTCCGGAGTTTATGCTCATTTGTATGTTTGTGATTTTTGCAAATGTCTTCTCATTAGCGCAGCCACGTTCATTTTCTCCTTTGTTCTTTATCTCTCCTGTGCCTGTTGCCCAGAGCTGTGTTAGTCACCCACGCTCATTCGCTCCCATCCGTGACCACCACCCCGGGTGGGCGGATCTCCGTGACTAGTCTACGTTTGGGGAAGACGCACGGGGCTCAAGTTCTCGTGGCAGTCGAGCACTGTAGACATTCTTTTTCCCCTACACTTACTATACTTCTTTGTCTTCCACGTGTGGCACGCTTTGGTTACTCAAATATGGGACAGGAACACGCTAGACCTGCTAAGGGCTTGCTAGCTTGTGACATTGTGAAAGAAAGGGCAGGTGAAGATGCAATGCTAAAACTTAAAAAGATTGCTAAGGTGTGTGGTTTCCAGATGTTGCCCAGCGGGAGATTACAACCTGAGTTTTGGAGGAAGTTACTTATAGACAAGGAAGGGTTGTTGTTGGATAATGGACTTACGAAAGTTGCAGAGGCTTGGTACCGGGTGGCTAGAGGTTTGAAACGGGAAGGATGGGTCGAGGAAGAACTGGAAGTTGAGGGGCAAATTGTGTATGTTTATCACAGGAGTGTTCACAATGATGATGTTGTTTCTATTGTTCCACGACCACCGCCCTATGATGGCGCCCGGAGCGCAACACTTAATTCCCGCCCTGCTTCCCCCGTCACGACACAGACCCCACCCTCTGGGGG